TATAAAACACTAGTATTTTATACTAGTATACTACTTTTTGATAAGTTTTTGTGTCTAATAAAAATTCTCAGAAGTGCATGATACAATTTGGTACTGAAAGACGTTGAAATCTACACCTATCCCACCCGTATGACCAATAATTAGGTTTAGGATTTTCGATCGTAATTGTTTAATTTCCCCTCTTTTTGTGCTTGCCAAGTTTTTTTTTCAGGTAAGTTAAAAAAAATTTTCTCCCCCCCCCCCCCCCCACACACAACTCATAAATTATTCTACGTGAACGTTCCTTCAGAAATCCATGCTTTTTTCTGTTCACTGTTTTCATTGATTACAGAATCTATGAGATCTATCATTGTCATTTACACCCTTAAGCTTTTCATACATAGAAACATATAGATGAAATAGATACACATAGATGAAATACATGTATAACATACTATCACAATTTTGCAAAAAGAATTAAATAAACTGCGTGTATTTGAACGATTTGTTGATTAATCAATCTAATATATATTTTCCCTTTTAAAACAATGAAGGAAAAAAGTATATAGAATTAATATTTGAAAAAAAAGCTGCTTACCCATATTTCACCGATGTTAAATTGAAGTTTTTATCTTATGATACTATGGAACGCAGTTTATGACAGAAAAATTAAATGTTTATGTGAATCCTCACCTTTATTGTTTACGTCAAACCAAATTTTATACGAAGCATGGGTTCTTAACATACATAATTAGGCAGCAACAAGATGTGTGTGTGAAACACTGATTCCCTGGGCCCGTATGGCAACATAACGAAGATTAAACTTTTCTTCAATGCAAATTAAATATATTGGTACCCAAAGTAGGGTATTCTCATTGCAAATACAATTGTGAGTTATGAAAGTAGGCCAGGTTTAAGTTTTTCCACAAGTACGGAAATCTTCAAAGTCAAGGTCAAAAGGTCAAGGTAATTGGTATCCATTGAAAGGTCATGCCACAAAAAATACATATGTGAAGAATGGAAGCCTTAGCCCTATTCTTTCAAAACTCATGACCAGGTTAAAAATTTTAAAAAGTAGGTCAAACTCCAAGGTCAAAGGGCAAAATTTCTTGATATCAAATATTTGGAATATTTACGTACGTCTTTCATACTTATATATGTGAGGGATTCAGAAGATACTATTTTCCTTTCCTTTCAATAATTATTAACATTAAATAGAAATGATAAACTGAGTTTGAAATCTAGGAGGGACGACTAGTATATTTAAAAGGGATTTATGTCCGAAATATAATTTTCTGCTTCTTAAAATTACAACAGAGTAATGAAATTAGTTAAATTTTTAATCAATTAAGGGCATAAAGGAATTTCGGAAGTAAACGTGCAAATTTGAAAATTTGGCGAAGTTTTAAAGCCTCGTTCTATGGATAATATTAAAATTTTGGGGGTTACCGAGCAATATTTAAATTACTACCCCCCCCCCCCTATGAAAAGAGTTGTAAAAAAAGGATTTAATTCTGGTTTTAAAAGTATAAATTGATTATTGAAAAGCTCTTCTTTGCATTAAAAAATTAATGTCATTTATATTGAATGGAAATGGGGATAAAATGTAGGCGTAAATCGAGAGTTAGTGTGTGAAGTTCTTTACTTTGATTTTTTTATTATAAAACCTTAATTTATTTAGGAATTTGAATGAAGAATAAAAATTAAGGTAGCTTAACTTATGAAGATTCATTTGACACTAGAAACAAGGAATTAGCTGACACATGTATTTTCATATTGTAGCATTTGTTATTTTCATAATTATTGGAAAAAGTTGTTTTAGCTTCTATCCTTAAACACGTATGGGCATTGTAATGAAGGTCACCATTACCTAAGTACGGAACAGAATGTCCATGAGTGATGCCAGTTCATGGCGGCATACCCCCCCCCCAAACACACTCGTCAGATCTTCTTTTTTTTGGGGGGGGGGGGGGTCCTGTCGGATCTTTTTGTTATACTGTCATAATTATGTTTATGTCAACTTTTTGTAAACTCGTTACTTATTCACGTGTTTAAAAATTCTACATAAAAGTTTGTCCTCTCCCAGTTTAAACCATCAATTGACAACATCCCATTCTGACAAGTGGACATTATAAGTATTTGACCAATCAACATAAAGATCTGACACGTCAGAATTTAATCTGACATTCTGAAAAATCAACATAATATTCTATAAGTCAACATAATACATGACAAGTCGACAAAACATCTAACTAGCCGACTTGTCTGAAAAAAATTCTATTTGTCAGATTATATTATGAAATGCAAAGTAAGTCTTTTTTGTGTAAAGCATACATCGAAGCTTATGATTTTCATCTCTCACTTTGTTAAAGCGTCATTTTGTCATCAAACTACATGTGACATGTATGCTCCGCCTTACACTAATCATCCTCACAATGTCACTTAGTGATATGCGGAATGCCTATGCGGAAGGCGGAATTATTACCTGTTTCAAAATTTACATCTCTAGTATTTTTTATTTATATTTGAAGCATCTTGATATATTTCTTTTAATGTTTAATAGTCAAAACTTTTTTATTAAATTTTATTATTTTTTCAATAAATTGAAATTCTAAATTCTTTTATAAATAATTTTAAGTATGATATTATAAATGTTTTACTTACTTGCACTATTAAATTAGGAAATATAATAATTCTAATAATCTGAAAAATATTTTATATATAGCAAAATCTGAGTTTATGGGAGGTAACTTCAGTTTCGGTTTTGCTTTACCGTTACAATCCTCGGCCATCTCCGGATTCAGCATACTCGAAAGAGGTTTTTTAAAAAAAATATGCTGGACCAAATACAATATAATAATTATTTTCCAACAGAAGTATTTTTTCTATGAATAGGACAAGATTAATCGTTGTATAGAGTAGAGAGGGGGAGGGTATTCGCAGGACTATGATAACCTGATGATATTTAAATTATTTTATTTCGCTCTTTTGTTATCTTCGATTCTAATACGTATTTCTCCGACAATGTGTAATACCTTTCGGAACATTAACTGGCAAAATTGGAAATATACAGCTTACGTCAGTTCTATCTGTTTTCAGGTTTGTTTGTTTTTAAGTCATATGACTTATCAGATAACATATAAATACAAAATACAGGATGTAAAGCACAGAATTAATATACATAAATGAAATAATTACATATACTTCTTTTAAGTTAATACTGCTTGTTGTATACAATATTTCCAACCAAACATAGAAAAAATACTCAGTTTACAGATCTCTCTGTGCTTCTGCTTTTTGGAGAATTTTCCCTATATTACAAAGTTCACTCACATTTTCAGTTGATAATAATTGTAATAGTTTATACATACTAGGTCTATACCAATAATACTTTTTAATATACAATTTCCTGTACTCATGATAAAGTGGACATTTTAAAATAAAATGTTACTCATCTTCAACCTCCATCTGACAACAAAAACAAAATCTATTCTCCCTAGGAATATGAGTAATTCTTCCCTTCTCAATCATTAATAATTATAAATGTGCGCTTAATCCATATTTTGTAATCAATTGAATATACTTGGATGGAATTGGTTTGATTAAATAGGATTGCATGCACAGTTTATTTGTTAAATATCTATACACAAAACACTTTGAAGACAAAGAAAAAAAGCACTGACATTCTTGTATGAAAACAGTCAGTTAATCTTTGTTTGAAATTTTTTAAAAATATATTTTTGTTTGTAAAAATACCTTTCAATATACAGTTTTCTGACTCCAATAGTTTTAGCCAAAACTTTATAATACGAACTTTTCTTTGGATAAAAAGAGGTAAACGACCAAGTTCATTATAAATCATCAATGATGAAGTAACACTTTCAACATAATTTTGAGATAAAAAATTGCATTCTCTTTAGCTCTCCTGTAAAAGTCCCCATATTTCACTTGCATAATTCAAAATACTACTTACATAAGTATCAAAGACAGACGAGTAACATAATTAAAATGCACATTTCTCATAGACTTCAAAAGTTTAAACATACATTTCCTCCCCTGAGTAGCCAATTAAAAAAAAAAAAAAACAAAAAAAAAACAAAAAAAAAACAAAAAAAAAACAATCAAAACATTCAGTGATAGACAATGAAATGGGCGGGTACAAGTCGACGCGGACGTGGGGAAAACATCGGATTGAAATTACAGATCGAATTTTATTTTCAAAGCGAAGACTGAATGCATGATCCAAAAATCAACTTATTTCAACTCCCAAATACATATTGTTTGAAGTTCACATTAATATGAGTTTTAGCTTATAATTTTAAGAACGCGAAGGTCGTAGAAGACAAAGATTATTTTTTCAGGAGATATTTGATTCTAGAAGGGGGGGGGGGGGGTAAAAAATTTTCGAGTCAGGTCATGGCTTAACATGACAATATATTTTATTCCTAGGATTATAAGAGTGCATGGGTTTTATACTTATTCTCACTGAAAACTGTTGGACAACTTTATTTAAAAATCGTTCAACCCCCCCCCACCCCCACACACACAAACATATATTACAATATTTACTGTAGCAGTGTGTTTTTAATTGTATATATTATACATCATACAATATTAAATAAATACCAGTATTATTGATACATATGAAATTGAGTTTAATATAAAACTTCTATACGTAACTTATTGAAATAGGAATTTGAGTTTAATATAATCCAACTTCCCAACGTCCACCCCTTTACATTTTATTGTCTATCACTGAATGTTTTTGATTGTAACAGATAGAAATGACGTAAGCTGTTTATTTCCAATTTTGCCAGTTAATGTTCCGCGGTCTTACCATAATTTGGAACAATTTGCAATGTAATAAAGATCTATCAACTCAACATACTATGATAGTAAGTTAGTATCTTTAGTATAAACACAAATAACGATATCAGAAAATGCTCGTGGAAACGTTAACTGTTACTAGTACATGTATGTATTTGGAAATTGCTATAAAATTATCGTTACTTGCACCCGTGCTTAATGATTTGAAACAGATATGCTATTTTATAGTTTCCTTTCCAGTTTTCCCTCTTTTTTAATTCTTTTTTTAATAAAAAAAAAATTGCTTCCAAGTCAATCTTCAGGTACCCCAAAATGTAACAAAGTGTGGTAGATGCTTAAAACTCAAGTCAGCACTATTTTGCATCGCGTTGTTACAAGAGCCAAGTGGAAAAGGCACAGTAATTTTAGCTTGTCTCGTAACTTGTAGTAGATACTCCATAAACATGTCTGTGAGGTCTACAACACGATATCAGAGCTTTCCTGAACTGTGGAGAACTTAAAATATAAATAAATGGATTGATTGTAAAGTTAATGTATAAACCTAGACGACCAACGTATTGAAGAATAGCAAGCCACGTAAGATTGATCACAGAAATCCTCGATTCCAAGTAAGCAATTTTGATACAGTCCGCTATACTGCTGGGTAGTGTGGTCACAATGAAAGCAGTGATGATTAGAGTTACAATACGGGACATCCGGCGGACGGTGGACTTTCGACAGGCAGCCAAAGACTGCAATAACGTTCGGGCCTTCAATGTATGAAGGATCACAATAAGGACTATAGGCAGCACCGACATGGCGCTGGTTACTGCTATATTTGTGACTTTTGCGAGCTGGAGGTTCGCTCGTCCATTGATGACAACGGCGTATACATAAAAAGATCCTATGGCAATTGCCAATATCCATGCTCCTGCAGATATTGATATGACTCTTCTGATGGTCAACCAGACATGGCTCTCGAGGGGATACACCACCATGAAGTATCGTAACAGTGACAATAATACAATGTGAAGAATTGATGCGCATGCGCCTGACAAACTGAACATATCAGTAACGCGGGAAAAATTCACACTGAAATCGTCTCTTCCTTCCAAATACCATAACCTCATGTTGTCCCGAGCAAATCTGGATGTTGTATATACAAAGTCGGCCAAAGCCAGACACGAAATGGAGACATATGTTACGGTGTGGAGACGTTTATCCTTGCCAACAACAATCAACACCATTCCGTTTGCCACCATACCGGTCGTTCCTACGGTGAAACAGGCAATGTAAAATCCCAGACACAAAGTCGAGTGGAGGCAGACGCCTGTAGCCTGTCCAGAAGTCTCATTGTAATGCCCATCCGTGGAAATGTTGAGTGTCCTGTTAAAGTTCATATCGTCACAGCTATAGGTCTTGTACACTCAGAGATGCCAAAGTTTTATGTATATGGCAGTGGTGATTTCACACGTCCATGTACACGTTATTAATTGAGCTGACATTCACGTGAAACAGGTGGTCAGACAGGGAAATCCCTACAAGTAAAAATTGGACCCATTTGACATTCAAACATTGTCATTATTTTTCCACGTGTTACCCTTTTAGAGGTTTATGATGCTGCGATATCAAGCATCAGAGCCCGAGGCAAATGATGGAAAAATTAATCACGGACAACATAATATAATCCATCAAATTAGAATAAAATTTGTACAAATTATTTAGACCTAAATCTATGATAAATCTAATCACCCAATCAATCGAAAAGGGGACATTAATGTTTCCACAGGGTCATTTCTCTTGCCAACGAGAGATTTTTCGTTAATTTAGGAATCAAACATTATAGCTTTATAAAGCTTTTAAAATATTGAATATAGCAAGTGCAGAGTCGAACTTTGTAATAAAATGAGGTCGTGATGAAAGATAACGAATGCAGAAAACAAAGGAATTATTTTATTTAAGTATAGGTTCAAGCTGATCTGATACACCTCAAAATCATTGATACTCTGCAAGAATACCTTTTGATTTTTTTTTCTATCTTGTATATTTTCTTCAATATCGGTAAAATGTCCAGATTTCATATGTTGATTTGCTATAAATTCCCCACGATTAAATATAACCTTTGAGTAAATTGCATATATACAGTCAATGAACAAATTTAAAGGTTGTGTGTGTGTGTGTGTGTGTTTTTTTTTGTTTTTTTTTTTGAGCTACCGATGTTTTGAAATAGATTTCCTGTCTCCTAACTGAGGCGTCTCCATATGAGTGAAAAGTTCTCGAGAGGGACGTTAAACAACATACAATCAATCAATCCTAACTGAGAGATATAGAGAGAATAATTTATTATAGCTTAAAGTAGATCCTTGTAATTAAGACTGACTTCTGAAAGAAAACACGTGAAAAACATCTCATAACCAAAGTAATTTGGTTTAGTAGTCTTGAACTTTAAGGATTGTTGGAATCGTATAATATTCACCATGCGTTTTTAATTCTCTAGAAATGAAACAATATCAAACCTTTTCATTTAAATCACCAATTTAACACATGAAATTAAACACTTTATACAGTTTTCCTTATTCTTCCAAGGATTGTTTCTTTACAGTGTCCATGTACATTTTTCTTCTCTGGGAACTGTGGAATTTAAATTGAATCCATGCAAAAGTGGATCGTTTGATGTACTTTCTGACATAACACAAACAACTTCTATAAGCCATCTTCCTTTAGGTGTTGCTGGAGTCCTCGCCGAACGTCTACTCGTTGAAGGTTGCTTCTTGCATAATACTGTTTACCACGAGTTTGGATTCCTGTAGAAAAAACTTATGCTTGGAGTATATATAAGCATTGGTGAATTTACAAAAAAATATTTTTAAGTCAATTAAGGTATAAATATATTATCACTAATAATACATGCATCGGTATCCGATTGATACGTTAAGGCGTTCTTGCTTGACTGGTACGTTGGGGCTATCTGGATTGGCGATTTGATTAGTGATGTACTGGTAATCCATCCTTTTGACGGCCTGTCATTCACGATTCCCGCATCTTGTTTCCACCGCTCTACTTCTGGTTTTGCAAAACCCCAAGTGATCTTGATCAACAGTGGCAGTGTTCAATATTGGCTTAACATGATTCTTCCCTACAATATATCTTTGTCTTCAGATTTGCATGTCAACTATGTGGCCTTTTTACCTTTCTTTGCCACTCGTATCTAAAGCTTTGGTAATTGTCAAATTCTGGGCTTTCCTGTTGATTGCTATACGGCCTTCAAGGACAATATTTTTATATCCCCGCTTGAAAAGTGGGAGGGTATACTGTAATTGGGATGTCTGCCCGTCCGTCCGTCTGTCTGTTACGCTTTGTGGTACCCATCTCTTACCCGTAACTCCTCCTATACCACTGAGTGAAATTTAATGAAACTTTCACAGAATCTTTATTATATATTGCCACTGTGCACCTCCTATTTTACTTTTTGATCCGACACATATTTTGGGTTTCCCGGCCACAGCAAAACATGGGTTTTGCCATGATAACCATATGGGAGGCGGGGGGTATCATTTAGTGAGCTCACTGCTCACAGTGCCTCTAGTTTTTATCGGGGTTGCATTCAATTTTCTGTTGTAGACATCAGCAGTTTCATCTGGAACAGCCTTGACTTACAAGTATATGACAAGTATCTACATACCAGAATCCAGATCTAAGCATCCTCACAACGCTAAGTCCATTCATGGACGTGGGATCCCTGACAAGCTTTAGCACTAGTTGTTCAATATTTAACCGACTTGCTTCTCTCTCAATCAGAAGCACCCAGTAAGATTAGAGGTATAATAATTTGTCAGACATGAAATGTTAGCTAGCTGAAAGTAAGGATTTAAAAAAAAACAAACAAGATTTAGTTATTTTCCCAAAAGGCGTCGCTGCAGTCATCTCGAAAAATAAAATCTATCTTCAGGGGCTCAACACACAAGCAATTTTTTTGATAATAAATTTTTTACCCATAGTATAATTATAAAACTATGATGATTGGGATAAAAATTAATTACCGAAACAATTAATACCTGTGACTCAACATCCACGAATGGGCTCAGTACCACTGACAAGGCGAGGATGGGTTCTAAGAACAGATGAATTGGCTGCTGTAAGTTTTTGTCAGGAAATCCAATCAAGCTAATTGTGTTGACAATGGAGTTCTTTGTTTTTTTTGCAGTTATTAATCTATCTTCAAGATCTCTTGATATTAGTCTCCATGCATACCTCTTCCACTCCTTATTCCTAATATTGTTCATTAATTGAACTTTTAAATTCCATAAATTTGAAATGCATAATAATAAAAATTTACATTGCACAACCATTGTCTCGAAGCACCGTCCGAAGTCGGCATTTCGTAGTATTCGTGCATATATAATGTATGTCAACTCTTTTATATCGGGATCGAGATTCAGAAAATAGAAATTGCGGGAAAGTCAACAGAGAATTTTCAATTTAGTATTAGATCATTAAAATGTGCGAGTTCACTCCCTCCTGGGTAATAGAAGATGTCATAAGTGAGAAAGTCAATCTTGAACGATGGGCTGTAAAAAATGTGGTGCATATGTTAGAGAATGGAGCCACTATTCCTTTCATCGCTCGCTACCGGAAAGAACAAACAGGTGCTTTGGAGGTTGACAAACTTCGTGAAATCAAAACTCAAACTGAGGAGTTGAAGTAAGTTAAAAGTTCAAAGGACACAGGTAATGATCATATAACATTTTACAAAATTTAATAGCTTGTGAAAATATATATATTGGAATACCGGCAGTATCCCCACTTTCCCCAATATTCCCACCTCCAAACCTCTCTAATCTGGAAATGCTTCCCATTGGATCAAAGGCTGATTCCTGCTAAAAGAAGAAATATTGTTTTTATAATTATGGTTTCATTATTGTAATAGACATTATAAAATATTTTTATGTGTAACAGAATATAGCATAGGCGGATCCAGGAATTTGAAAAAGGGGGGGTCCAACATTTTGACTTATTTTTTTCTTATGTTTGCAACATCTACCGCTCCCAATGCATAGGCCTAGTCACAGGGGGGCAGCGCGGGCACTAGCCCCCCACTTTCAGATCGGGGGGGGGGGGGGGGCAAGGGTATGTCTGTGCCCCCACCCCACCCCACACACACTTTTTAATGAATAACAAAATCACAGCTATTTTGGAATAAAATTAAACCTCATTTTATGGCATTTTCTATGTTCAACAAATGAGCAAGCATCTCTCTTGACGTAATAGTTGTATAATATAGTAATGTAATATAGTAATTGAATCGCCAAGACCTGCCCCGCCCCCCCACTTTTCCCCCAACATCACCTTTAATATAGGAAATGTTCATTGAAGGGATAGGTGCCCCCCCCCTTTTGTTGACCATAGTATAGTGATATCGAAGAATTGTGCGGAAACAAATTGGAATCGTAAGTAACGTGTCTTTGAAAAAGTTAACCATTACCCCCCGAAAATCCGGAAAATCTCAGTCGGAAGGACAGACAGGTGGATAGATGGAGCGAGAATAAACTAGCACCCTCCCTCTTCAATTGTTTGATATTAACCCAATATCACACTGTTCTGATCAGACTCCCAAATATCTATAGCGAATTGCTCTATCAACTTTAGGCATTTACTATTCTGGTCAATTATACTGGAGTGACAGATCTAACAGAAATATCGAAAACTTTATATTTATCATAATAAATGAACGGTATGAACTTTAATGCACCAGATCCGCATTTCGACAAATAATGTCTCTTCAGTGATGCTCAGACCAAAACTATTGGAAATCTTAAAAAAGATAAAGAGCTACGAGCATTGAACGAAAGTGCCGAACATGAGCCAAAATCCGAACAAGGACCAGAGCTATGCCTGAGGGAGATACGTCCTTTATTTCTAAAATTTATCACATTAAAATTTATATATCCGTTTCATGATAGCACTGGGGTACTAGACGAAACTGGGCTTATGAATACCCTCGGGGACTAAAAGTCCAACAGCAGAGGCATATTAATAACATTAAAAAATATTCAGTTATAATTCTCTCTTTGATACAAGGATATACAATTTTCATAATACATTTTTTTTATTTCGTAGGCACACATAACCAAAAAATTTGGGGAAGGGGTATCTGCACATGAAGGCCTATGTAGATTTTTTTTTACTTTAAAAATATACATGTACATAACATGGGGGAGGGTAGGGAAACACCCCAACGTGTTTTTTTTTCCTACAAATTGTATAAAAAAAGAAAGAAAAAGAAAAAAAAAGTAAAATTGGACTCCCCCTTTTAACAGGAATAGTAATAGCTGACTCTCTCTGAAGATAAAACTCAATAGTAGACCCCTCCCCTACACAGTGCCGTTCACAAACTTGAGAGTTTAAGAATAGTTTGGGGTATTTGTAATAAAATTACTGAAATTGATAATCACGTACATAACCATCCCCACGTGTAGTTTTGAAACGTGACGTTTATGTGATAAATATAGTATAATAGGCCCCTATGTGTTTTATAAAAAAATAATGATTTATATTGTAACAAACAGCCTTCCACATATATTTGTGTTTCACGTGAAACGACCTTTTATCAAAATCGTCGTGTATGACTCAGCCTAAGAATCAAACATTTGGCTAGTATTTACATGAATATTATGGACAGTTAAATCTTCATGCCTTACTGGAAGCAGCTTCAGAGTTATATATTCTAAACAAAACTGTATACGTACAGCGCTGATGTTTTCGGTA